ACAAAATGAATAAAGTGTAATTAATAAAAAAAAGTAACAATAATACAGAAAAAAATACTTTGACCCAGCTTATTCTAATAGTACCTTTTTGCCTTCAAAATACTTAGATGTTAATGAATGTTTCTATTGCCTTGGATCCTGTCATTCTTTCTGTGTAACTGCTTTTAGGATACTCTTGTCATAATTGAAACGTCAGGCTTTATTTGTCGCTGTATATCTTGCCCATTTTGAATGCACTTAATTTCATAGAAATGTAAGTACATCATTTCCTCTGTATGCTCTGATCAATCTAAAGTGTTTCCTATTCTTTGCATCAACCTTTGGAAGATGTCTTGGAATTTGAGGCAAGCTTTTGGGACCTGCAGTCTGAATGCCACATGTTGAACTGATTCTTGCTCTGATACTTTTGTTACTGTGTGTTAAGCTTCTTTCCTCTTAGGCAGCAGATTTCAGATCACCTAGAACTGGAGTCCAAATCTGTTTTGCTAGGCTTGCATATTAATACCAATATAATTAAATCACAATAAATTACATTTGGCACAAAAAAATTTAACTAATATGATGAGAGAAAAAAAAAAGGTCAAAGAAAAACACTTCATTCAAACCACTTTCTGCAGCAACATTCTGCAAACTACATTCTGCAGCCAATGCAGAACAGCCACTTATGTCTTCAGAGCTGCAAATACCTGTCTCTACTCAATAAAAGAAGGAGATCCGGAAAAACCATAGACTAATGGGAATTTGCAACAGAAGCTGTTCTGAACTGAAAGCTCATGAAACAAGATATTTGAGCTAAGACTGGAGCATGAAAGTAATTTCCATGGTAGGATGACAGTATTTACAATGCCAGTGACACATGGAACCTCTGTAGTTAAAATATATGGGCATAGCCTAGCAATCTTAAAAGCGAAATCTGGTCAAGTGGGAACACACCATGATGTTGTCTAGAAAACTCAGTTTCAATATGTTTCCTCATCTTCCCTTTATAGATCTCAAGACCACGTTGGGCCTAAGCTGTCATAGGGAGCATAAGTCCTACTTGCAACTCATTATTTACTGTTCCACCAAGTAGAAGAATAAACATCATTGCTCTCAACGGTCTAGGCAATGAGTGTATAATAATCTAAGGTAACATAGAATTTTTTGTAGGTCCTTTGTAGTTATTTGTGTCTATGGAGTAAGAGCAAGAAAACGGCATTGTAGTTAGCTATGGAAAGATTTTTAACTCAAATTTGAGTCATAAATGCCAATGAAGAATAGGCAGTGATTTGAAAGAGAGAGTTATGGAGTATATTCAAGGGTTTGAATATACAATTTTTTTATACAATTTACAAAAGTGGTAAATTGTATAAAAATGTCAAAAGTACTAGATGTTTGCTGGTAATGACTCTGTATTGTCTTTGAACTAGGTAACAGTCTGAAGCAAATCATATAATTTTTAAATAAAAATTTGAAGGTGAAAAGTTAAGACACATTATAAAAAGAAGGTACCACTCCTTCAATTTACAAGGTAAGCTATTTATGAGTTCCATCAGGAAGGCTAATGCATCCACACTGAGTGGCCTTTAGGAGCATTTAAAGAATCTAGGATTTGGCAAATTAGAAAACTGGACATTATGTGAAATGAGTGAGTGTATTTAAAACTTAATAAAAATATGAAACCACCCATCTCTCAAAGCATGGATTGAGTGAACTTAAATAGAATATAAATACAATGCATTAATTGTTTTTATATTTTCCTATTGAAGGAACAAAGTGAAATTTGATTCAAGTGTAAGAAAAACTGGCTTAATTTATTTATTTATTTTAGCCAAACACTTTTTTATTTTTATTATGGCATATTTAAAGTTACTAGTAACATTGATCAGTTGGTTTCAATTTGCATTTAACTAACAGAAGCAAGATTGTGTTATCAAACAATTTGGGATGTAAATCAAAGTTAAATAGAGCAGAGAGTGACACAAAGTCTGAATGATAAATCATGTCTTTGAAACAGTCTGTTCATTATCTGTAACCATTCTGAGATTTTGTTACTCCAAATTTAGTTAAATTTTTGATGGGGAACAAAGTTGCCGTTAGACTTAACCAATCACAAATGCATCTTAAGTTTAATGACAACTCTATTAACTTAATAAATAACAGAAATTTATAGATAAGCTTCATTTGGTCTCAGTCTTAGCTGCATTTATTTTTATTTATTTTTTTTTCGTATTTTATTTTTTTCTTATCAGTTACATTTTATTAACTATGTACCCCAGCCGTGTCCCGATCCCTCATTCCCTCCCAGTCCCTCCCTCCCTCATCTCCACCGTGCCCCTTGCCAAGTCCACTGATAGGGGGGACCTCCTCCCCATTCATCTGATCCTGTTTTATCAGGTATCCTCAGGACTGGCTGCAAAGCTCTCCTCTGTGGCCTAACAGGACTGCTCCTCCCTTGGGGGGGTGGGGAGGCCAAAGAGCCAGCCATTGAGTTCCTGTTACAAATAGTCCTTGTTCCCCTCACTATGGGAAACCAATTGGTTACTGAGCTACTACAGGCTACATCTGAGCAGAGGTTCTAGGTTACATTCATACATGGTCCTTGGTTGCATGTCAGTCTCAGAAAAGACCCTGTGCCCAGATATGTTTGGTCCTTGTGGAGCTCCTATCCTTTCCTCATCAGACTAACTCCCCTTCTTTCTTATGATTCCCTGCACCCTGCCAAAGGTTTGGTCATGAGTCTTTGCTTTGAAAACACTGCTAGTTAGAGTTTTTCAAATGCGCTCAGTAGACTCCTGTCAATGTTTAATGCATATCCCATCTGTCTTTCTAAACGAGGATTGATCATCTTACCCCATGTCCGCTCTCTTGATTATCTTTTTTAGGTGTATAGATTTCATTATGTTTATCCTATCTTATAGGTCTATATAAGTGAGTATATACCGTGTTTGTCTTTCTCCTTCTGGGATATTTCACTCAGGATGATCTTTTCTAGGTCCCACCATTTGCCTGCAAAGTTCATGATTTCCTCCTTTTTGATTGCTGAGTAGTATTCCATTGTGTAAAAATACCATAATTTCTGTACCCATTCCTCCGTTGATGGACATCTGGGTTGTTTCCAGGTTCTGGCTATTACAAATAAAGCTGCTATAAACATGGTTGAGCAAATATCTCTTTTGTGTACTTGAGCAAACTCTGGGTATATACCTAGCAGTGGTATAGCTGGGTCTTCAGGAAGCACTATTCCTAATTGTCTTAGAAAGCACCAGATAGATTTCCAGAGTGGTTGAACCAGTTTACATTCCCACCAGCAGTGGAGGAGGGTTCCCCTTTCTCCACAACCTCTCCAGCATGTGTTGTCCCTTGAGTTTTTCATCTTGGCCATTCTGATGGGTGTAAGGTGATATCTCAGGGTCGTTTTGATTTGCATTTCCCTGATGGCTAATGAGGATGAGCATTTCTTTAAGTGTTTCTCTGCCATTCGATATTCCTCTGTCGAGAATTCTCTGTTTAGGTCTGTTCCCCATTTTTTAATTGGATTACTTGGTTTGCTGCTTTTCAGCTTCTTTAGTTCTTTGTATATACTCGATATTAGTCCTCTGTCAGATAAAGGGTTAGTGAAGATTCTTTCCCAATCTGTAGGCAGGCGTTTTGTTTTGATGACAGTGTCCTTTGCTTTACAGAAGCTTTTCAGTTTCATGAGGTCCCATTTATTGACTGTTGCTCTTAGAGCCTGTGCTGTTGGTGTTCTGTTCAGGAAGTTGTCTCCTGTGCCAATGAGTTCTAGGCTGTTCCCCACTTTTTCTTCTAACAGATTTAGAGTATCTGGTTTTATGTTGAGGTCTTTGATCCACTTGGACTTCAGTTTTGTGCAGGGTGATAAATATAGATCTATTTTCATTTTTCTGCATGTGGACATCCAGTTGGACCAGCACCATTTGTTGAAGATGCTGTCTTTTTTCCATTGAATGGTTTTGGCTTCTTTGTCAAAAATCGAGTATTCATAGGTGTGTGGGTTTATTTCTGGGTCTTCTATGCGGTTCCATTGATCCTCCTTTCTGTTTTTATGCCAATACCATGCAGTTTTTATTACTATTGCTCTGTAGTACAACTTGAGATCGGGGATGGAGATACCTCCAGATGATCTGTTGTTGTACAGGATCGTTTTGGAGATTCTGGGTGTCTTGTTTCTCCATATGAAGCTGAGAATCTTTTTTTCAAGTTCTGTAAAGAATTGAGTTGGTATTTTGATGGGAATTGCATTGAATCTGTAGATTGCTTTTGCCAGGATGGCCATTTTCACAATGTTAATCCTACTGATCCATGAGCATGGGAGATCTTTCCATCTTCTGAGATCTTCTTCAATTTCTTTCTTCAGAGACTTGAAGTTTTTCTCAAACAGGTCTTTCACTTGCTTGGTTAGTGTCACCCCAAGATACTTTATGTTATTAGTGGCTTTTGTGAAGGGTGTTGTTTCCCTAATTTCTTTCTTGGCCATTTTGTCTTTGGTATACAGGAGGGCTTCTGATTTTTTTGAGTTGATTTTGTATCCTGCCACTTTGCTGAAGGTGTTTATCAACTGGAGGAGTTCTCTGGTTGAATTCTTGGGGTCGCTCATATATACTATCATATCATCTGCGAATAGTGACACTTTGACCTCTTCCTTTCTGATCTGTATCCCCTTGATCTCCTTTAGTTGTCTTATTGCTCTGGCTAGGACTTCAAGTACTATATTGAAGAGGTAGGGAGAGAGTGGGCAGCCTTGTCTTGTCCTTGATTTCAGTGGGATTGATTTAAGTTTCTCTCCATTGAGTTTGATGTTGGCTATAGGCTTGCTGTATATTGCCTTTACTATGTTTAGGTGTGTGCCTTGTATTCCTGATCCCTCCAAGACTTTAAACACGAATGGGTTTTGGACTTTGTCAAATGCTTTTTCAGCATCTAAGGAGATGATCATGTGGTTTTTCTCCTTCAGACAAACTGCCTTTCAAAGGTGCTTCAATATCTTGTCACAACCTTGGCACACTGATTCATGTCTAGTACAGATGAAAGCTGTTTGAAGAGAATAACAAAATAAAATATTATAAATGTTGAAAAATAAATTTAAAATTTGTAATTGATTTTTGTAAATTTCCCTTTTGTAGACAGAATAATAGACATGTACAGAACAAAACTAGGAATTTTTCTCTGTTAGCAAATACACATCAGAAACATCAATAAAATCATTTAGCTTATGTATCATCCACATTAGAGGCAAAGTTGGCACAATTAAACTACAGTGGCCCTACATGGAAACACTTCCATTGTCATATTGTTAATGAACTTGGCACACATAGTTGCTTGCATATAACCTCTGTCAATATGTTGGTTACCCTCTGTGTCCCATGCACTGCTGTCTCCAACTAAAACATGTTCTCTGCTTAGCTTAGCCATGGCTTCTTTACCAGTGATGTTTTTTCTAATAACTCTGCTGCTTCCATAAATGCTCACTGAAGTAATGGTAAGTGTAAAATGCATAATCATCTCAGATCTACCTAACTAGTTTGTGAAATTGCACACTACTTGAGAATAACGCAATCCAGAGTCTAATAAGTGACAACATTCTGAAGGAGTCTTGAGGCACTTAACAGGATTATGAGTGATAAGAGAGTAAGTTTGCACTTTCCACCAATAACAGGTGTAAGAGCCACCAGTGAGACATGGCAACTGGATACTTAAAAATGGGGGTACAGTTTGATCACCTCCCCCTGAGGGGGAGCAGCCCTACCAGGCCACAGAAGACGACAATGCAGGCACTTTTGCTGAGAACTGATAGACTAAGATCAGAAAGGAGAGGAGAACCTCCCCTATCAGTGGACTTGGGGAGGGGCATGCATGCAGAAAGGGGAGGGAGGGTGGGATCAGGAGGGCAGGAGGGAGGGGTTTATGGGGGGATACAAAATGAATAAAGTGTAATTAATAAAAAATAAAAAAAAGTTTAAAAAAATGGGGATATACAGGGACTTCTGACATGAACTGATTGGCCTGGTCTTTGATCACCTCCCCCTGAGGGGGAAGCAAACCTTACCAGGCCACAGAGGAAGACAATGCAGCCACTCTTGATGAGACCTAACAGACTAGGATCAGAAAGAAGAAAAAGAAACCCTCCCCAACCAGTGGACTTGGGGAGGGGAGTGTGTGGAGAAGGCGGAGGAAGGGAGTGATTGGGAGGGGAGGAGGCAGGGAACTAGAGGGGGATACAAAGTAAATAAAGTATAATTAAAAATAAAAAAAGAATAAAAGAATTGGAAAGAAAAAATGGGGATACACTACAAATACACTGTAATTGAGATGCATGTAAAGTACAAAGCAAGAAGAGTTGAATTCATGTAGGAAGCATGTCTTGGGTTGGAATGGCGCATTGTGAAATATGAGGCAGGGGCAGAAAAAATCTATCAGTGGACAAAGAATTTTATTTTAAATCAACTTTATTTTGAGGACCAACTCCAAAAATTATGCTTTAACCTCTATAGTATGTGACATCTTTTTCAGTCTCAAGAGATAAATAACCTCTACTTACTCTGTAGCATATGGATGGTTTTTAATAGGATTGTTGATAGAATGTTCACTCAATATCTCAGTTGAGATGCTATATTTTATCCTCAATAGCTATAAAAATATGTGTCTCCTAAGAAATGTCTTATGATAGTAATTAAAAATACATCTTTAAAAAATAAATTTTATCTAAAAAGAAAGTTGTTATAAAAAGCAGAAAATTACTATTAACTTTTCTCTTAAGAAAACTCATTTTTGAGTTTTGAAATGAATTTTCTTTATATTTCATTTTGAATTTAAAAGAAATAGACTGGTGATGACAATGTTAGCTTTGATTATTTGATTATTATTGCAATGATTATTACAGATGTCTAGCATGTGCATTCTTTCTACCTCGAATTAGTATGTTTGGTAGGTGTATTTGTTCAAGCACTCTCTAAGGGTTCCTGTTCTTTGGAATATAAAATAGGAAAGAAATATAGACATACATTAGAAAATTGCTATAACGTATGGGGAGATATATGAGGACAAGCCTCTAAAAGTGTACAGAAATCAATCTTCATTCATGGTCCAGTGAATAACTCACCTTGAACTGTCAAAGAATATGCAAAATGACAGCATGTCTTTTACATCTGTTTAAAATGGTGCTCTTAGTCATAGGCCAATACAACTGTTGTAGAAATTCAACCTTAGATCCCATTCTGACAATTCACAGGCATTGTTCTACACCTAAACTCAGTCCCTACATGCACATATTGATAAGATAATGTAAACATTTAAACCTGTGCTACTCTATTATCAATTATATTAATGTTGTTAATCTGAACTGAAAAACAATCACGTCACTAGTTCACACTAGTTCAATTTACTCTTCCCAAATAGAATAAAGCATTTCTGTGTTAATATCTGAAATTTGGATGTTGAGAAGCCCTGAAAATTTTGACTCAGATATGTGAAATAATCCTGTGAGAGTGCTAAGTACAAAGCCTCCTCTTGCACTGAGTTCAATCTTTTCTAACTTTGGGTGACAAGAGGCTGGTGTGTCCTGGAAAGACTAGAGTAAATCCTGAGCTCACACCCTCTTCTTATCATACTTCATCTTGTGCAAATACAAAAGGATAGCTTTTGTGTTTCTTACTGTAAAGCTTGTTGTATAAAGTTATCTCTACTTCAGGTTCTGACACAGACTCAGGAAAAAACCCACCATATCTCCTGATCACAAGACAAATGTCAAGGCTCTCTTGGACACGATTATCTGTGAAAATTTAGGAAATAAATTCGAAGATATTAACAAGTCGTTACATGGCTACAACAAAGACCTAATATTGCTTGAGTACACACCCGATGATATTCAATATATGATTGACAGGTGTATTATCTTGAATATCCTAGGACTATGTTGTTATGGCAAGTAATGGACACTGTAATCTCCCTTAGCATGGCCTGTTCAAGGTCCTCGTGTTAGGCACCAAAAATGATGGTTTACTCACTCATTCAAAAACTCTTTTGACAATAATTGAATTTAGTGAATTCTGAGTTTATTTTTCCCCCAAATAAACTAAAAGCCTCTTAGGGGCCTAAACAGTGGGCCTCCCATTATTCTCTCCAGCAAGTCTGTATACTCATTACTTAACACAAACACAAGAAGCATGGAGAGTGTACATAAATTCAATAAACTAAGAAAATTAGTGTCTCCACTTAGAAGCTGAAGTGTTCTGAGCAAGCTGTGTGTGGAAGTTAGGAACTAGCATCACTTTAAAATTAATGCCCTAACCTTTCCTTCTTTAATTCAGTGGATCTCAGCCTTCCTCATGCTGCAACTCTTTACTGTACCTCCTTATGTTGTGGTGACCCCCAACGTAAAGTTATTTTCATTGCTACTTCATAACTGTTAATTTCTTAATGTTGTAAATTATAACATAAAGATCTGATGTTTATGATATCTAATATGTGACCCCTGTAACATGGTCAGTGGACCCCCAAAGGGATTGTTCCCAAAAGGTTAAGAACCTTTGCCTTAAAGTCACATGTATTTTGTTGGCAGAATTCCCAGTAAAATTCTTTCTTACACTTGCTTAGCTTAATCTGATCATATTGGTATGAAACTGTGCTATGCTTTAGAATATGTACCTTTGTGGTTATTCAATAGTAACTCTCATGTTTTTTGTTGTTTGTTTGCTTGCTTGCTTGTTTTTTGAGACAGGGTTTTTCTGTGTAGCCCTTGCTGTCCTCGTTTTGCTTTGTAGATCAGGCTGGCCTCTTACTCACAGCAACCTGACTACCTCTGCCTCCCTGAGTGCTGGGATTATAGGCATGCACTACCATGCTCAGCTCTTTTCATTTTATGTGATTTTTTAAAATGATTTCACACTAACGTAATAGATTTTGATCACACTCCTATATCTGGCTTTTTTATTTCCATCCATTTTCCATTAACTCTGATTTATTTCAACCAATAAATACTCTCATTATTCTTGCCCTTTTTGTTGTTATTTGTGATGCACTGGATTTAACCAATGCTACACTCACAGTCATGTGTATGAAGTAATGCCTGGATCAAAAGAAAATCACTAATGGCTCAGCCCTGAAGATAATGATTCCACCTGCTCCAGCAGCTGTCCACTACCAATGCTTCCCTAGAGAGCAACCAGGTCCTATGAGAGCCTTGCTCATTTATGACTGAATGTTAACACGGCCTCTCTTGTGCAGGCCTGTAATGGCAACCCAAAGTCCATTTTTCCATGTGGAAAAGAAGAGTAAGTCTCAGTTGGATGCTCCCATTCATTAAAGGTGGTTAACTTCTTAAATGAATTGTAGAAGGTTGTGGTAAAGTACTTGTTCTTGAAGATGGACATGTGTAAATGGAACAGCTGCTCATATTTCAAAACGGCTGGCCATTCTTCTTCCAGCTTCTTCTGAAATCATGATAGGGATATTTCTCCCTAAATACTCACTTTGCAACCTCATAGAGCATTTGAGGTAAGCTTTGGAAGTACTTTTTTCCAGGGAATGAAACTCCTTGACACTCATATCATAGAAATTCCTTAAAACTGATTAAGAATTCATAGTTTGTATTGCTTCCCATGGAATTTTTGGTGGTGGATTCTTGCTGTTTGAATTTGTTTCTTTCTATTGATTATGCCCAGTCCTTAGACAGTGATCGTCTATGGTATAATGATTTTTTTTTTAAACTTGTTTGAGTTTTTTTTTTTTTTTAATTGTCAGGACAGAGTATCAGCTACTAATTCTGTGACTTCTACTGTATCAATAGTAGAAGACAATACAATTTGCTTTTAAATTTATAATTTAAAATACAGTTGAAACATAATTCAAAACGTTTTTAACATTTTTATTTTATGTTTCAGTTGACATCCTTGTTGCAGCCTCATTTCTCCTCTCCTCACACTCCCACCTTCCTATCTACTCCCTCTCCCTGTGCCATCTTTCCTCCCCTTTTCCTATGAAAATGAAAACTCCCTATGCCCGCCAGCCCAGCTCAGCAGTTTCATCAGTACTGA